AGGAGCCAAGGTTACAGTTAGCATTTGTTCACAGCCAGAGAAATGTAATGATAGTCCACCACCAATTCCTCCTTTGCCTGTAGCTCTTAGAAGAAAATTTTATAAAAATGAGGGGAAGATAATTAATGCAAAAATGCCTGAATCTAAGGTAGATCTTATTCCCTCTAATGTGAATGGAAAAGCCCCCTTGCTCCTAAATCAGTTATGCCTTCATCCAAAAATTAAACTGAAGAGCCTTCAGTCATCACCACCCAATTTGAGCAACCATAAACCAAGCAGAATACCAACATTCCGTCCAACTCTGACAGGTCTACGTAGTGTAGACTGCCTCGTGAGTTTGTATGAAGATGGAATTGTTGCAGAGCAAAGAAGAAAAGCGATTCAAAAGGAAGGGGAACAGAATAAGAAAATCAGTAGAAGTTTGAAGCAAAGTTGGGAAGAGCTGTTCAAGAAATATGAAGCTCTGGAAATTGAATGTGATAACATGAGTTCTGTGACCAGCAGCAGAGTGAGTGCTAGCAACCTGTTCAGCGGAAATAAGGACAGAAGTGGGAATGAGCATAACAGCAACAATTTAAAAAAAAGTAAACTGAATAACCATAAGGTCTTCAAACAGGTGGAAACGGGAAGATTGAAATCTGCACCGTGCAGTCTCTTGCACTTGAAAGGTGATGTAGAAAGTGATAGTACAGTAGCGTTAAATTCTTTGGTTTCTAGAACCAACAGTGAAATTAACTTATGCAGCAACTTGATTAAGAAATGGAAATGGCAGGAAGTTTCAAGTTATAAAGAAAATGTGGTGTATCCAAAATCATCAAAATCAGAAAAAGAGATAAATAACAATCAAGTGGTGTTGCAGCAGAGTGGAAAAGAGAGTGAATCAGTGCAGCGCAGTGGTGCTGGTGCAGTGGTGAGATTAGGAAATGTGGACTCTGGAGGAATAGGCATTGTGCGTGCCAATACTGGTCGGCAGGTGTCCACCTTTCGGTATAGGACAGAGCTGGAGGTATGATTTATATAATTATTCCTTGTTACTGACTCAAAATACAACTTTACTGCAAACTTTTTATATGTATTTATGTATTGGGTAAGTCAGAATAGCATATCGAAGTGACTGGTGGCAAGCTTGATAATCAGGGTTTATTTACAATAATATTTCTTTTCATTGTGTACAAACTAGTTCTGACATCTTTTCTTGTCCATTAGATGTCAAATTCTCTTTTACTGGAAGTAAAGCATCTGAAGTGTGAAACTCACTGCTGTAGATTTAAGTTTAAGAATGCATGGAACTCTTCCTCCAACTTCCTGTACATATGTCTCCATGGTGTAGTGGTTGGGTCCAAGGGCAGCTTTACCTGTTTTTACTATAAGAATGTGTATGTAATTGTATCCTAGAATGATGATTTGCTTCAGTGGTTTGCAAATGTTATGTATATGGTTCCATTTGTATTATGTAGGTTCAAATACAGATTTGGGTTTATCCTCATTTAAATAACATGTGGAACTTTAGGAATGCCATTGACCGGGGGTTCTCAACTCATGGCCTGCTGGTTTTCTAATAATTTTGCAATGTGAAGACATTTACCACTTTTTTTAAACTCTGCAAACTCATGATTCTGTATATCAAGTTTTTTGTTGAGCTTATGTTTATTTGGTTTACTGTCATACTTCTCTGCAGGCTTAGGTTTATATGATTTTACTTAATTTCCTCCAGGCAAATGCTGACATCAGCCATAAGAGTTTTTTCCCACTTACCAAATTATTGTTTTCTGCAGTCTATATAAACCTCATAGTAGGATTTAAATATTTTGAATTCACAAGCAAAGAGACATGCTAGAAAATCCAAATGTAACAAACTAGAACATAGCATATGATTCTTAGCTGTTCTTTGTGAGGCACCTAAATTTACCAAGGAATTCCAGTGAGGGAAATATATATTTGGATGAGATCAGTGGTAGGATCACTGTTTGGTTACATGGACTGGGGTTTGTCAAGTATGCATAAGTGTTTCGACAAAAGTTTTGTTTATCTCCCCCATGTGTGCTATGTGTTCCACACATTTTATTCTTATAAGTTGTATATTAATAGATGATGATTATAGATTTTTAAGCCCTGATAATGGATACAGTATGTTTCTCCAGAATGTTGGTTATACCTCCCAGTCCACATGATGTTATACCATGAAGTTCAACATGGACATCTTCAATGATGCAAGAACCTCATTTCTCACTTATTATTATGCAATTCTGTCTGTTTTTGTGTTGCTTCCTCTTTCTTAGGTCCAGATATTCTCAGCACTTCCTTTTCATATATCCTAATTTCTTGCTTGTCAGTTCTAAACAGATTTCTACATGACTTTGCATTGTCTTGCAGATATTCTTCCGTTCTGGTGTACTGGCTCAACTAGAAGCCCAGCGAGATGAGAGGCTCACAGATAATGTGGTTCGACTGCAGGCAAGGTGCCGTGGTTATCTTGCTCGGCGGAAACTTAATAAACTCAAGGTAACTACATTCCAGTTCTTTCAGAGTATTGAACAAGGCTTCCAAGTGTTTCATCACAAACAGAAAACTCACAGTGGCCTCCTTTCTCCCCAGTCTTTCAAATGGCCACATTCTTCACAAAAAATTTTTATGCATGTTTTTATTTTCATGTGTTTATTTAAATTTCAGTTGCATACTTTTCTTAATTATTCATAAAGTCCAAAGAAATTTTTATAAGTCACTTAATAGAGAGATTATGAAATATTGCTGAAATATGTTCCAATACTTTATTGTCTCCACAGATTCAAGACTTAGCTGTACGTTGTATCCAGAGGAATGTGCGCAAGTTTATGTCTGTACGTGACTGGCCATGGTGGCGGCTTCTTGTAAGGGTTACACCACTTCTCAATGTGCATCGCACAGAGGAAGAACTGAGAATCAAAACAGTGAGTAATATTATTTTCTTATGCTAATGTTTTAATATGACCAACAGATATAATTTATAACTTACATATTATTATAATTATTATTTATTAAACATGTTATTGTTATAATATCTAACATGTTTTGGGAAACATTATGCAATCATCAGGTGTATTTCCATGTTAAAGGTATTAAAAGTTGACAGTATTCGAACATACTAAATATTGGTTGCTGTTAGCATATTTCCTAATATCTAATTTAAAATTAGTTATGAGTATCTTGGATATTTTTGCTCAATTTTCCCTATTATAATATATGCTTCATTTCATTAATTTCTCTTCATTTCAATTTGTGTACTCTAATAGGTTTGTTTGCTGATGATTACTGACTCCTCTGCTAATGAGTATGTTGTGTGGTGATCCTGTATTTTCATGTTTTGTGTCTCTGTCTGTAAATATAGTGTGGTAGTAACAAATCAGTATGTTTTGTATTGTGTTCATGAAATACTGTTTGTAAAAAGATAAAAATATTTTAGGAAGGTCAAATTGTTTACAAAAATGACTTAAACTGAATATAAATTAATCTGGTTATTTCATGTTTTAAGGCAAACTAAGCAGCCAGGCTTTGTTCATGTTGGAAATTAGTTCAGTGTGCTATGAGCTGTTCAACATGCACTTTATGTGATATAAAACATTAATAATAAGTAACATCATTGTCCTCTTATGTCTGCAGGAAGAACTGGAGCAGCTAAGGTCCAAGGTGGAGAAGTTAGAACAGGAACGAACTCACCTCAAACATGATAATGATCGACTTGAAGCTAAGGTAAGTAGTGTGCATTTATTAGTTTGAACAGTTTTATAAATATTGTTGTTCCACAAAAGGCTGGGAATTTCTTGACTAGGTGAGCATGCTCTATTCTTCTCAGGAAGGAGTCTATACCATAGAGCTAGTTTAGTTAGCTTGAATTAAACCATTGCATTGCATATGTATACCAGTTATCTTGCAACCAGTGTTTGGCTGTAAGCTGACCTGAAAGGTTGTAAAGGCAATACATGGTCCATCTTGCTCATTGATAACCAACTTGCAAGTAAAACTAGCAGTCAGCACCTCATTGGCTTATTTCAAGCATGCTCAGGCTGCCAAGTAATAATAGCCGCATGGAAGCCATCTTCAGATGAAAGCACGGCATGCGTAAGAATAGGTGATCAGTTTGTGTGGAGTATATTTGGGCAGGAAGCCCAGTGGGCTGCTACACTGTATTTGTATGCAGGGCTGCTGCAGATCCACTCTGTGATGTTGCACTTTTCTCAATCTTTATGACCTGTTGGACAATTTGGTGATAGAACGATTGGTTTTGGTTTCATAGTATCAGTCTATATGCACATCAGTCCTGCTAGCCAATTTTTAACCAGTCTTTTTATTTATATGGAATTTGGTATGAGTGCCATGCTAGTTTCCCTTCATGTGCTTGGAATAGCTCACATAGTAAAGTGAATGGCTACTGGTTACATTACCAGGGTACAGTTCTTGTCAAGGTCAGGGGTTTCTGTAATTGTCATCATTAGTTTTACTCAAGGGCCCACCCAGCCTTCTATCTAATGGGCACTGTGATTTCCATTCCAAGGGATAAAACAGCTAAAGTGTGAAGCTGACCACTCACTCCGATCTAGTGCTGAGGTCAAGAATGTTTAGTGTGTTATGTCCATTCCCTTTTTATAATTGTGGGGTCTTAAGAACAAGGATAACTTTATACCATTTGAGTAGCAGTAACAAAATTATTGCTCTTCTAACTTCAGAAGTGGGATCAACACCAGCATTAGGTAGTATAGGACACTGATGTGTTGTGATCTTTAAAAAATGTGCAGTGTTAAAGTCATTTTTGTATAGAACACACTGTAATGGTGATATGTTGATTGCACAGAATCTGTTCACTGTTCTGTATGCTAATGAGGACTGATGTATCACTGGATTACCAAATTTGGCAAGTTTTCCTCATAAATATGTGTACCCATTTTGTATGAAATACTTGATGTTTTGAAAATTACAAACTTGGCAATGATGTGGAACTTTGAGATTATGTCTGAAAATGTTTGAGTAGTGGGAGCTATGTACAGAAGTAGATCACTAAGTTATATAACTTAATTATTGGTTTATCATTTATACTAGCCTCTTTATGCAGATTAAAAATAGGTATCATAAATGTTTCCCAGACCTTTTTCCAGAGGAAAATGGAAGAACTGTAATTAATTATTTAAAAACACATTTACCCTCAGATCGGCAGAGTAGCACGTCAGAGATGAAGTCTCAATTTAAGACTTGGGGTATAATAATGTATTGCTTGGCCAGGGTTGTCACACTCATGAGATGGTGTGATGGAGTTGTGGTGGAATGAAGCTTAACAGGGAAAAATGGAAGAAGTATAGAAGAAAAATCTACCTCAGTACCAATTTAATCAGCACAAATCTCTCTTGAATCATCCAGGAATAGTCCCTGATCTCTGGTGAGAAGCCAGTGCCTAGATACCTGAGCTATGGCATATCCTTATCATTATGTATGTGCTGTAATAGCCATCTGATGCATAATTTGAGCTAACAGATGTTCTTGGTAATCCCATGCTTTGCATTCTGCAGTCTTAGTTTTGATGGCAACTGTACAGGTTTTCTGACTTCAGTTCAATAGAAACAAACTTGTTTCAGTCTAATTTAGTGATCTGCCCAGGGTGGTGGGAGTGTGTGTGTGTGTGTGTGTGTGTGTGTGTGTGTGTGTGTGCATGCATGCGTGCACTCTGTCAAACTAAGATATAGGGAGTAGAATGGCCATCTTTTCTGGGGTGTCAGCTTGTTTAAATATAAACTGATGGCTCTTCCATCAGACCACACCCCAGCACAGAGAATTAGCAGTCAGTAAATAGCTATTCCCTTCAGCCTGGTAGCTCAGAGTTTGAACAGGAAAGTAAATGGGAACCATAGCAGTCTTTCATTGTCATTTCCTTTCTTTGAGAATAAATAGTATTATATAAAGTTATGTGCTGAATGTTGTGGCTGAGTGATTAGCACTGAATACTTAAAATTGAGAAAGTTGCCTTCCATTCTCATGACACAGAAGCCAGTTGTCTGACTGGGATGGTATTGGTTTTCCTCATTTTCTTAGCATTCAGCATTGGTTAACATTTGACTCCTTCCCAGTTCTTGCAGAATTGCATTCATAATAATTAAGTAACTTTATGATTAGTATTACAGATAAGAAGATTTTTACAGCTGATATTTAAAAGTCTATGACCAGACTAGAATGTGCTGTAGGTGATGCTGGCTCTTCTGAACATACTTTAGATAGGTTGGAAGCTTCAGAATGGAAATCCCACTCCTTAGTTATGTGGAGACATGCCAGTTAGCTAAGTTAACAATGTTAAAGCCTCATACAATCTGAGTTTCTGAGACTGTCAATACCTGCCACCCAGAAAACATCATCTTCATTGGATCATTGTTGAGTATTTTTCTCATTTTGTAGAAGCAGAAAACAAAAATACTTTGTGTGCCAAGATTATAAGACAGTCATGTCACTATTTTTATTCTGCAATTAAACTTAATTTCAGAATGTATTTTGGTGAAAACAAATTCAAATTTGATGTGTGTCATGTCAGTTTTCCCAAGTTGTAGAAATCTCACCTCATTCCTGTTGGACTATATATAGTTCTAGGGATTAAGATGTTTCTTCAAATCTGTTTCCTTATCCTTGCGGCGTGTAGTTTAAATACTTGGGCATTTTTCTGCACTGCCTGTATATACTTTTGTGTATCAATTTTTTAATTGTTTGCATGATATACATAAAATTATGTGACTTTTTGGAGCCATTTATCTGGGATTTTCATTTTCAAGTTCTTGAGAAGCTAATTGTTGTTCATCCACTCGACATTCCCCACTTTTCTGTGTAATATATGTATGGTTTATTAACCTTTTCAGCAATATAACTTGCCTCTGTACAATGTACTATCTGTATTGCTGACAACTGCTGGCAGTAACAGGAATAAATGAATATGAATAGTGTCAAGGAATGCAAAGAATGCTTTTGGAAAATATGTTTGCTTCAAATTTCAGTTCAAATTTACACTTTTGATATGAGGTTGTTCGGCATTTTTCATATGCAAAATTAATATAAGTCAGGTTTTATTCAAACATTATCTGTGAATTGAATGCTGGGCTAGAACTCAGTTTATCCTGCATTATCACTTATTAACTATATTAGTGTACTTATGTAATAAGAGTGGAGGCATGTTCTCGTTAGCAGTTGTGTTACAAATCGAACAACACTTGTCATAGCTGAGTTCATTCCTTTAAACTGAATGTTATTTCAGTTGTCTTGAAGGTGTTCATTGTACAGACAGTACAAAGAGGAGAGGTACAAGATCTTGAGTACTATGTGCTTACTTATAGTGACAGACTACTTAATCCTACCAATTGAATATTTTAGTAGTGTTTGTAGAAATCTCTGTTTTCCTTTGAATAATCTGAAGCTATCATCAACCTTACGCTATAATCCATCTCACACCACTTCACAATAAAAAGATATAAGCTCAGATTTATATTTTGCTGTCATAGGTACTTCAATTATTGTTCTGTTCCATATTGCCTTTTGAAGGTTACCAAATAACAGCTGTGTTGAGATTTGAATTTTTTTTTTAATTTTCATATTTTTTTAGTTATGATGCCTTGTTGTCTTGTAGGTAATAACCATCTACAGGATTACATGGTGTCATTATGTAGAAGACCATAATTCAAATCACCTATAGACTTGGTGCTTTAATAGACAATTACAAGGGTATTACTGTCAGAAACAAATCTGAGATAGCCTAAAACATTGCATGTGTACCGGAAATGCTTACACATAGCTCACATATATCAACGAAATGGGTGAGTGAACAGCTGGATTTAAATGCCCACTTAATATCTCCAGTCTTTGAATTTATTTCCATTTTTATGGGCTTTTATTCTACATCATGTATTGGGAACTTATTTGTCATACTGACTGAGGTAAAATACTGCTGTACCTTGGTACAGAAAAGTTTTAAATTGCTAGAACTGTGGCAGAATTTTAAACCAGTGTTCTTGAATTATGTGTACTGAGGAATTGGATATAGTTCCGTGGTCTTTATATTATTTATTATTTATTTAACATTTCAGGGCTAAGAAAGTCATTAGGGAGTTATTAAATTTTGAGGTTATGTGTTGAATAGTCATCAGAAAATGTTTTTGAAAACAAGAATTGGTTCTACAGTGAAAATTCATGGTTAAATGTGTTCTTTTCATAAACATTTTAAAATGACCATTTGCCAAAGTTAATTTTATGGAGTTTGGCATTGGAGTTGGTATTTTTAGCACAGTTTGTATACTGATACATGGCTGGCAAGTTGCCCTGCGTTCAAAGAGAATGAACAGACAGGTCTGCTGAAAATTGGCTCAGTAGCATCAGCACTCAACTCCTGGTAAGACGGGAATGAGGGAACTTTGCCAAGTGGGGGACATACACAGTGAGGAAGATATTACACCAACTAACAGGGCGTGCTGGATGGTACATGCCTCCATTAAACATATTAGTGGTGGCACTGGAATGGATATTAAGTTCTTAAATTGATGGATTAACAGGTGGTGTATGTGTGAAAGAATGTTATGTAATATTTGGAAGAAAAGCAAGTGAAACATGAAATCTCAAGAAGAATGCAACTGCAGGAGTTAAGTGACATTCTATGGTAGAATCGGGTAATACACTGAAAGTACAGGACATTGTTAAATGAAACAAGGATGAAGTAAAGAGTAATTAAACCAAAGAAGTGATAATATTGAAGAATGTTACTTAACAATGGATCATGTGATGGATATAGTTTAATTTAGCTGAGGAGTTTTAAGAGCGCTAAAATAGTGAATCATTAAAAGATACAATTACAAAATGTTAAGTTATCTCACCTAATCATAGGGTGTCATGAAATGTTAACTTATTTTATAACTGATGTTGGATAAAAAAATTACTGTGTTTTAAGAGTAACTGCTTGGACATCTGAAAGTATGTTTCCTGGCAGTTCTCGGTTTGGTGCTGGAATCGTTGACAATAATAATGCCTTCCCCACCAGTTCTACAGTCCAGCCTCGAAGTAAGCCCCTGCTCTTGCCAGTAAAGCGAGCATCAGCCACAGGAAGTACACCAAATAAAGCCAACATTACCAGAAGCCCATTTTCTGGCATTCTTAATAAGGCAGTGGGTATAACATCCTCATCACCCTCAAGGACACTTTCACCTTCAAGGATCTTTTCCTCTACTAGAGAACTTTCTCCCAATAGAAGTGTCTCACCCACAAGGGTATTTTTCCCCACCAGAGGAGTGTCTCCCTCTCGCATGTTGTCTGCAACAAGGGACAAAGCATTTTCACCAACAAGAGAATACCCTTCATTCAAAGTGTTTTCATCATCAAAAGATTTTGTTGCAAATAGAATGATATCACCTAGTAGAAATGTGAGACCTCCTTCATTAATATCATACCGGAGTCATTCTCATAGTCATTCACCCTCACCTATCAGTTGTTCAAGTAGATCTTATTCTGCATTGAGTACAGAGACCAGCTTTCCAAGACGAATGTTTCCACAGACTAGTGCCAAAATAAACTATACAGATGAACTGGAGGGAAAAGAGGATGCTCCAGTGGTTTTTGATGCAGGAATGAGTTTTGTGATTGGTGTCAAGAATCAGACGGTAAGACAAAAGTTCAAACCAAGGGCTGCCCATCTGCATTCTTCTACAGCATCATCTACTCTCTCCTGTAAGATCAAGGACTTCCTTCACAGGACAGATCACATGATGGAGGAATGGAAAAGGTTAGGCAAAAAGGATCTAGATATGCAGTCATTGGCTGCACTTCCTGACAGGAACGGAGGAGACTGCTACACTGGAAGAAGAAGTCGCAGTGCTACCAATATTCTTATCAAAGGTTTCCAGTTGTACAGCAAGACTAACAGTGCCAGTATATCATGTGTGTCTGAAGGAGACACAGTTTCAGAAGTTGATGAGGTAAAGTCTTGTGGGCTGAAGGGCTGAGTGTGACATCTGGCAAAGCTAATACTGCAGCATGTTTGTTTGTATGTTTTTCCAAAGGACTTCTGTTATTGACTGCTACTACTTGTATTTGCCTAATCTTTGCAGATATTTCATTTGGTTAAGCAGTATATCTTTATGTTGTGTGAAAATACAGTGGGAAATTGTGACATAGACTCTTACTTATTGAAAATTGTGAGCAGTTAAATTGATTTTCAAATGCCCAAGTATATTTATAATTGTTTTAAAATATAGTATGCTATGGAGATACTACTGCTTAACCTGCTAAGTACAGTTTTCAAAATGTTGCTTAAAAATTAACATAATTACATTTGCAGGTGTTGATGTTTTCTGTAATACTGGATGTACGATGTGTCATACAAATGGGCTATTATCACTTGCCACCCTTTAAAAGGAGAGAAATATGCATTCTTCAGTGTGCCATTCTGTACCTTTCTTGTTACTTTATTTTATTGTAATTTCAAAAGATCCACATTACATTCTGGCCAGACATAAAGGCTGTATTGTTGAAAGTAGTGTGAATAGATCATAATCATGTGTTTTCTTTATTAAAAATATGTAACTTACAATACCTAGAAGTAACTCAGAGATAATAATTAATAAGAACCATGATACAATGCTGATGTCCTGCCTTATACCACATCACACAAGCCTTTACATTTAAATCCACTTAGTTTATCTTTTGTAATATAAATAATGATGTGTGATTCATACCATCATTCATGACTCAGTGTTTGTTACACTTAATAGTGTTATGCAGATTAGTAATTTCCTTTTCCTGTTTTTTTAATATACGCAGATTTAAATTGTTTTTGTGTACTAGTATAGTAGCATTGCTACTGGGAAAAAATCTTATTGTTTTGTGTTCATTTAAGATAAAGTGAATAAGTGCAGCGTAATTTGAATGGAACCAGTTTTATTGTTTCTGTAAACTAAACTTTAAAAGAAGCTTATGTTTTGACATAATTTATATATTTACAAAGGAGAAGAAATAATTCAGCATTGTACCTGAAAAAAGTTGGGGGATGATGGGTAGCATGAATTCTATTCTATTTTCCATGAATCTTGTTAGGCAAAATTTGATATTGGTACTGCAGATCAGTCGCTAGTCTGTGAGCTGAGATTTTAACTCATGATGCCTTGTGTATGAAGCAGGAGTGACAGCCACTGGGTTGTAATATTTTGCTTTTAAAATCTAAAGTGTAATTAATTTTGCAACAGTTTATTTGAATCAGAACTAGCTGAATGTCTTGGTCAGTGATGTGTACAAAATTGCAAAGAACTGATTTGGAAAATTCCATTGTAACATACCTTTCCATTTTTTATTTTAAATTATTTGAAATGCTATGTGAGTAAAATTATCTGTATCAAATTGTAAAAAGCATAATACTTTTCTCCCACATGAGCATATTGTGCTGCTGTTAGAAAAACACTAAATTATAGCCTAAAAATAAAGCCCAGACTTTCAGAAAGTTTTATATTGCGGTCATAACAATCTTAACAGGTTTGAACTGTGAGAGGGACAGTTCTGTATTAAGTGTGTGATGGCGCTTACTAACTACTGCATGTTTTTGTTGATGTTGCTCCTGTGTGCAGCTAAGTGAGATCACAGCTGATTTGGCAGAGGAACATTCTACCTCAACACTTGCCACGGAGCGACTGGAGGCTGAGACAGCCGATCGGTTGAGGCTGGAGAAGGAGCTGCAGGATGTACAGGTGAGTAACTATTCCTGTTCGTTGTCTTGTTTTCTTGTCCCAGCTTCATTTACAGGCCCTGCCCTCATGGTGTATATCTATTGTCAACTGTAGGTTTCTACCACAGGCCATCATTGTATTCAGTATTGTCCTGTTATCAGTAGAAAAATGAGAACTCCACTTTCGGTGTGTCAATCAGAATTTTGGATTTCTACTTTGACCCTAGAGAGGCAGGCAAAGGCCAGGATGATCAGAGACTGGTGCCATAAGCCACAACTCACAGCAACATGTATGTCATGTGTTTCAGTAAATTCATGATAGAAAGTCTTGAATTTTTTTAATAATGATAATGGTCCTTTTGTAAGTCATTGGAATATTATAACATCATATATACAGTAAAAAAATGAGAGAAAATATTTGGTAATCAGTTAATCAAAATATAAAGTGAAAACTTTCTTGTTCTTTAAAAAGATAGCAAGTTATTAGAATTATTCTGAAAATTTATAGAACAGAATACAGATTTCAGACATTTTAGGCACATTAATGACGTAGGTATTATTATTTGTAATGTGGAAACCTCTCATTGATTTCTGTTTTGATATTTATGTGTTGTATGTTTAATATTCAGTGTGAAAACAGAAATCTTCAACAAACTACTGAGCGACTGGAGATGGAGTTACTGTATATGAGGGCTGCAGATGTGAATGGCAGAGTAGGTTCAGATGAAGATGGTGAGGGCGAAGAGGACGCGGGTGTGTACAAGCAGCGGTATGAGCGAACAGTACGAGAATTAGAATTCACCCGTCGCCGTCTACAGCAGCAACATGAAGATGACCTGGAGCAACTTGTTGGCCTCAAGAAGCAGCTTGAGAAGAAGGTAGGTGGACAGTCACTTTGCATTTTAATCCCAGGTTCTGGAAAGGCAGAGTACAAGGTAGTGTGGGAATTGTATGCAAAAGGATATTACAAATGATGAAACTTTTATTTTAGACAAAATAATCATCCTAAATATTTTCTATTAGCATCAATAGAAATACTACCTGAGAACATTCTTTAACTTTGTAAATGCTCAGCTTGAGCCCTTTGGTACCTCTGACAGTGTTCAAGAGATAAAAGAATTTATTCAAAACATTTACCAGGTTTATTGCATGTTTAATACAGTGTCTTCACAATTCATTGCTACAGATCATCATGCTCAGGAGGTAAGAACAGAATGAGCTTAAACAGTCCCTGTAGAAATTAATCTGTAGAAGTTTGTTCTTAAATGTGTTGGGCAATGGGTTAGGGCTTCCAAGTTTTATCTGTATACCAGAACATGTTATTGTCCTGTCAGAAGTGCTTTGAATGGTGGCTTCTTCAAAAGTGTTTTTGAGCTTTGCAAATGTTTTAATTACATTTTTACTTCATACTTATATAAGTTCCATAGGACAGGTAGATTATAAAAATAGATATTTAAGGGTTTACTTTAATTATAATAGAATGAATGCAGTGTAAGTTTCAGTGTTGTGAAAGAATTACGGTAAGAAGAGTACATGTTTATATTCTTTGCAGTTGGCTGATGCATATGAGGAAGTGGAAGAACAACGACAGGTTGTGGGACAGTGGAAACGGAAAGTCCAGAAACTCACTACAGAGACTAATGATTTACGACTTCTCCTAGAGGAACAGAGTTCTCGGAACCACCTTCTGGAGAAGAAACAGAGAAAGTAAATGCATGCCTTTCCATTTGTTATTATTGTTATTAATATTATTGCTACCATATGACAAAGTAATTGTTGAGATTAGGTTCATATTGATCATGTTACAGCTGAGACAGATGTTGGCTCTGACAGTAGTTATCCGTGGTTGAGTCCCAAGGTAATCCATGATGAATAGTAGCAGTAGGGCAGGCCCTCTCTATTTACTTTAGTTTTCCGTGCCAGTAATCATTCCACTTCTGTTCCCATGCTTGTTAATCAGCTCTTGTAAGGTGTGTGATGGATTTGACTGGGCATCCCATATTATTGCATTTTCAAGTTGAGGCTTCACCTCTGACAAACACTTGACTGAATTCAGTGTAAAAATGGGACTAAAGTGAGGGTTTCAGGTCCCCAAGCTTATCTTCTGCAGTTAAAAGAATAAAACTAAAATATGATAAACATAATAAAACAAATTTAAATTTGTATCTTTCTTTTATGTGGCATAACATTCATACCCCTTACCATAAAACAGTGGGAAGCTTATTTGGTGTTCAGATTAGTGTTCATTTAACAAACACTGGAATATATCCATTAATGGTATTACAAATCACTGTCTACAAAATAGTGCAGTTCTAGATCAGGTATTAATAACATTTCAAGACTTAAGTCCACATGGATATTTTTTTGTTTAGTAACTCTCTGGCCACCAGGTTATAAATGAAGACAATTAATTGAAAGTCTGTGGAAAATTATTAAAAGCATTACTAACATATGATTACAAACAGTTTCACATATTACTCTATAATTTTCTTCAAGAAATTCAGTCATTGGTAAGATATTTGACACTGCTTCTGCTTGATAAATCTTTCAGTATCAGGTTTAATTCTTGTTGTTACAATTTTCATGCAGTTCATAAAGTGTCCATCAGTAAGACACATTAAATTCTTGATTTGATATTCTCCATTAAGTTCAATGGTTATTCACATTGATAGGTACTTCCAAATTCTGGCATTATTAACAGAGTGTTTTCTATGTCAGGTTTGATTCAGAACTCCAGTTACTGCATGATGAATTGCGCCAGGAAAAGCAACAGAAGGACCGGATATCACGGGAAAAGGAGCTGATTACTGCAGAGAAATACTCACTCGAACAGAATCTTAGTGTAAGTCTCGCAAGAACACAGGTTGTTCCCAGGTCATATTAAAACATGTTGGAGTTAAGAAAATTAGCTCTCATCCTTCAGCATAAGCTATGGTCTTTCCAAACTGCACCTTCAAAATACTGACTACTGTTCTGAAATTTTAACAGTGTTACTTCGGATTTTAATTGGCATTTTAGTCATTGTTACTCAAATTAAAGTTTTACTCTGTAAGGTCATATGTACCAAGAACAAACAAACTTACTAAACTGCAATATTGATGCAGGCTGTTCACCTGGAACTAGAACTGAAGGAAGAGAAGGTGGCAACCCTGGCTCAAGAGCTTGATGAACTTACATTTGGAGGCAAGACTGAAGAGGAGGTTGCTCATCTCAAGAAAACAAAACATGAAATGGACAAAAAGCTGAAGGAACAGGTAAGTCTGCTATATTTTAGGATCTAACGAGAGACATAGTAAAATGTATACATGCATTAAAGTTGCTGAGAGAAGTGTGAGTCCCATGAGGTCATTCCCACACTTCTTCCTCAGTTCATTCCCACCATCTTTCTTCATTCTATGTGGCATCCTTCATAACCTGTTATTGGCCTCCCTCTTGGGCATTTCCTTTCACTTGCATGTTTAAAACCTTTAGAATTAATTTCTCATTCACCTGCATCTCACAAAAGCCTTGCATCCTCATGTTTTGTTAGCAAAATTTTGTATACTTTTTTCTCATGCATCCTATTTTCCCATACATTTTGGCTTGCTTGATTTCATGACCTTAATGTTTGGCGAAAAGTACAAATTTTGAAGCTGCTTAATAAGGAATTTATTCCACCCATTAGTTATGTCTTTTCATTTAGTTCCAAATTTTGTCTTAAGCATCCCCAGAAAATATTTTTTAAAATTATATGTAGGTACAAAAGCTAAAAAACATTTCCTTATAATTTGTGTGTTACAGTGATTTGTTATGCATACCAAACATCTTATTGCTGGAACTGAAATTTCATAAGAAACTACTTTTACAAAGATGGCTGCCTTCTGAGTTGTAGCACCACGTAGTCTGATAGAAGTTTACCAGTGTTTCAGAGGTCATTGCTGCCTCCATCACCCTGTTGACAGAGGCAGCAAGGACTTCTGAAACACTGGAGTTCAGAGGTCATTGCTGCCTCCATCACCCTGTTGACAGAGGCAGCAAGGACTTCTGAAACACTGGAGAACTTCTACCAGACTACGTGGTGCTACAACCGAGAAGACATCATCTTCATACTTACTGCCATGAGAACCTCAAATTTTTATTATGTTTATGTTTGATGTTGTGTAGGAAGAGGAACTGGATGATCTTGCTGGGCAAGTGCAGCTCTTGGAGCAGGCAAAACTGCGTCTTGAGATGAGTTTGGAGCAGCAGCGCAAGGAGAACCGTAGGGAAGTAGCTCAACGAGATGAAGAACTTGAAGACATCCGTTGCAATGCTCACAAGAAGGTCAAAGGTAGGTACTGCTATAAGTTACTGAACAAGAAATATTGCATTTCAAGTTTGGTGTTCAGTTTTGAATCTCCAAAAAAAATGAAGGATAGGAGATGGGAAAACAAGGAAGGAATCAGTAAATTTATGCCTTTTTACAGTTCTAATTCTGAAGTGTGACATGTCTTCTGGTTGCAGAAAGAGGAGGTGGCATCCAAATAGGGGATGTAGCTGTGAATATAATAAATAAGCAGTTGCTGACAGCCAATAAGGGATGGTCCTTTAGTTTGGGGGTTTAGCAAGTGGTAGCAACCATTACCATAAAGAGCTACCATGTTATGAAATACATTTTTGTGAAATTTTATTTTTATCTCTGTTTGACTGAAAGCAATCGAGCAATTCCAGATCTTACACTTTTAATACTGTTGGCCTTTGCTGACATTTATTGATGATATGTGATTCTTGGATTTTTAGAATTACACAGAACAAATTCAAATTTGATGTGAATTTTGAGGTCTTCTCATTTGATTGCACGTTGTATTATTTTGGTTTTGTTGACCATAGAAAAGGAGGCAGCATGTTCATATAAAATATAATGTGTATTGTCCATGATGCAGTGCTTTAACTAAAAATAATCACATTAAATGTGGGATTTTGTGTTATGTTGAGAGATTTTGATGAAATGGAAATTGCTGAGACTTATTTGAGGAAACATGTGATATTGCAGCCTTAGAGGCACAGCTGGAGAGTGAGCATGAAGAGAGGACACAGCTAGTGAAAGAGAAACATGAGTTAGAACGACGACTGGGGGCATTAGAGGAGGCAGGTCGTGCTAGCCGTGCCACAGATGAGGATCAGTTACACAGGCTACGCAAGGATTTGCGGCGTACTAAGGCCTTATTACGTGATGCACAAACACAACTGGAACGATCCAGAGGTGATTCTCCTGGGAAGGCAATTCTCCGTCAGCTGAGAAACCAGGTACGTGAGATTTCTGTTACTTTCACGTGGCAGAGTAGCTGTGAGAACCTGAAGGTGTAAGAGCAAAGATATCAGCTTTCCAGGTGCAGCATATTTTTCTGTGCTTCAGATTTCTTGCCTGTGACAAACTGAATATAAGAAATGTTTTAAATTTTGAGTTAGTTAGTTAGTTTCTTTGTTTGTTTGTGACTGCCTGTAGGCTGGATGGTCAGAGTTCATTCCTTTCATTTTTATCTTTGCCAACAGTGAGATTTCAATTGGGTGAGTATCAAGGGAGGTTAAAGGAGAGGGTATGGAAGCCGACCACCAACTCCATCTAGCGTTGGTCCAGAATATAGGTTTGCTTCCACATCCCATGGCTTAATGCTTAGACACAGAAGCAACTATTCATTTAATCTTTACTTTACCCCCACACCAAGATTACCCTGTGGGTTCCTCCACCCTTGCAAAATTTTTCACTCCTTATAAGAAGGCACAAGAGAGAGGATAAGCATTCTTTGAGTAGAGGCAGTATAAAAACAAAATGAGGATGGTTGAATGGTTAATTGGCTGCTATTTAAAAATTTGGTGTGATGGACATGACCTCTCTACAAAGCATTACATGTTGATACATAATAGGATGTCTTTTGGTTTAAGTTTGTGTTCATCTTAACTATATAGGTTGTATAGCTTCTAATGAATGATATGTGAAGATGGCCATGAATGGAGAGTACGGATTTGGAGGGAGGTGGTTGTGACCTAATTTCAAGGTACAATCCTGAAATATTACTAGAGTGTCTGAGAAAAACTAGGAAGAATGTCAGGATTGCTGTAATATTGCTGAAACTAAAGCTGGTTGCCTCCCAAATAGAAATGTATGGCATTACCACTATAGGAACCTGTTTTTTTGGCAAAATATAGTCTTATTGAATAACCGTATCATATAAAGGGGATGTGATCCAAACAGTCAAGGCTTTAGTAATTAGAGGCACAAAAAATATCTCTGAAGATCAAGGCTTGACATTGCTACTGTGTTATAGCTGGAGGACTTGGAGTGTGCACGAGCAGCTGCGGTGAAGGCTCGCCAGAGTGCTGAGATGGAGCTGGCTGAAGGTCAGGCCCAGCTGGATGAGGCACAGCGACTCAGGGCAGAGGCAGAGGAGAGAGCAGCAGCTGCCACGAGGGAACGCTCCGATATCCGCACACAACTAGAGGAGAATGAAGAGGAATTAGCAGAGGTAGTACAGAATTTATGTATTGATGCATAGTAGTTTCAGGATAACTCACTGTCTAGCTAGAGTAAAGTCATCTGGACCATGACACCATGTTGTCTTATAGGTGGTTATCAATAACAGGTGACTGTACTTGATTATCAGTCTGACAACATTTGAGAATTGCTTCAATAGATAGTAATCATATTTTCCAATATCTATATCATCTGTGTCTACCATATCATAAGTCAATAATATATAATAATTCAGTAACACGTTAACCATCATATAGCCTCAAATAATGTGTTCCATTGCTGGTGGTTGTAGGTCCTGAAGAAATACCGTGTAGCAGTCCAGCAGTTATCCATGGACCAAATGGCTCTGCAAGAACAAGCAAGTCTTGTAGCAGAGCTGGAGAGTGAACGTGCTGCCCTCAAGGAGCAGCTGGCTGAACTGTCATCTCGTCTTGAAAGCATCGAGACTCAGGGAGATCCCAGCTCTTCCCTGGCACAGCGAAGATTAGAACTACGCACCAAAGAACTGGAATCTAGGCTGGATTTGGAGCAGACCACACGAGCCAGGATGGAGGTCTGTTGTTACTTGTTATCTTATTCTAATGTAATTTTTGTTGTATACAGGTTTGTGGCTGAAAAGTTTGTAATCTATTCTGTCTTTCAATAATCTTTTCTTGTTGTTTCTTGCCAGCTGCTTCTATTCTCTTTGATGTCTTTTATGAGGGGGTTCAAATTTGGCCTGGACTTTTATTTCTCCAGACAGCTTATCAAGAGCTGTAGTTTCACTGTTCTGAAAATAAGCTTTGGTATGTGAGCTACCTACAATGGAGGTAGTGTTTTGTTTCCTCTAACATTGATCAGTCTATCCATCATGGTGGGAGGTGATGGATTAAGTTGATCTGTGCTGTAATGTACACTGTATTACCATTAGATTTATGTGTAACAAAGGTGAAAAGGCATCTGATATCCATCAGTTTCTTTAATTACAGTATGGGGAAGCACTCCTTTCACACCCTGTTTTTCATTTATTTAAAGAAGGCCTTGAACAGGTAACAGACTTTCAACATCCAGCACACCTTATCATAGCAGTGAACCATGGTCTTGTGCGTTGACTTTTTGTTAGAGAGAAACAATGAAAGTTGCCTAATTTTTCTTCTGTGGCTCTCTGGTCCGTATTTGGTCCATGGCCTCCTCAATTCTCCTCTTCCTTTCGGTCCTATTGTTAGGTTCATTCTGTCCGAGTCTTTGATTGAGGTTTCGAAACATCTTCCTTTTTACGGTGCAAGGTTTTGCTACTACCACCAAGATCTGCACCGGCAGCGGCTCCTTTTTTTTTGACCAGGGTACCTGTCTTAGTCTGACCTCTCCCCCTTGACCAATCTGGCTAGGGAGGCCCTACCAGTAGCTATGCTACTGCCAGCATAGCTCTTGGGGTCACTGAGGTACTCATGCCCCACCACCAAGACAAGGTGCAGGTAGAAAGTTGCCTACAGCTGTGATCTATTCAAAGACAGACTTAAGTCTACCATCAGTACCTGAAAGCACATAATTATTCACACATATTATATATATATATATATATATCAATCCTAGGATTAGTTGCCAACCCCATTATGGGGTGAAGGTTCTTTATCCTTCATGATATGTTATTCAGCGTTCTGCACAGATGGCAGGCAGGTGATGTTTGTGATGAATGAGGGTGGGTGGTGCTGCCTCATCCTTTGCACAGTTCCGATTTGTCCCCATGTGATTCTCACCTGTTTGGATCACTTAAATAGCACCTGGGAGGCCAATGGATTAATACCAATAAAGATGGCCAAAAGTGTTCTTCATTGCTGGAATCTGCAAGTTATGCAAAAGGTGGACCAAATGTATTGCAAATCTAGGACAATACATGGAAAAGTAAACATGGTTTCAGTTGTGTATAAATCCTGTAGATGTCTGGAAAAATAAAAGTCCAAGTCAAATATGAACTTCCTTTGTAGTACCTGGCTGAACAATCTTTGATATGTTTCCTTCAAATTTTAATTCTGCTGTTGCTGATGAATACTTTTCATATTTGAGCTAATATTTTGTGATAACTATTTATAAAATTTGGGATTATAGTAAAATGTTGGTACAATGAGTATCAGTAGAGTTCTGTTAATATCATAGAATGTGATATTAACTTCAATTTGGAGTGTGCATTCTTTAGTGAATTTTTGTACCTTATTGGCCTTATTTTTCAATTTATGCAGACACAAATCCATTTTAGCAAAGCTATTCTCATTACAGATGTCACATTGTATAGAGTCAGAAATTGTTTTTCCTTCTGTTTAAATATTCACGATATTGAAATGTGTTTTATATCAGAATGAATAGTGTAGACTTTGAAACTGTATTTAATCAGAATACACATGACAGCTGGACATGCCTTTTCAAGTAGGTCTGTGCATTCACTTTGTGCAAAGAATGCAAAGCAAAATTATAAATGCAAAAGGAATGGATGAATCTCCACACTTATGCTGAACCAGTTCAGTGATAATTAATCAGTTTGATTTTAGAGCTGGTTCAGATGTTGGCCAAGAAACAAGTTATCCAGATGAGTTGTAGTTTTCCTCATTCCTTGCCATGATACAATACATAGATTGAAGCATTCATGGCCTATTTGAATGCATTAATTGAAGAGATGTAGTAAAATCATGAAAATTTAATCCAGCAGAGCTCATATTGCGGTCGGTATTTAATCCTGATATCTCTCTTGTATGTCCGATGACTTACCTCTGAGTTAATATGCCCAGTCCATATTGCCTTTGTTTTATAGGTCATCACAAGAGTGTATAAATATTTGTATGACCTATATAGAACCAAGTATTCTCACTCTTGCACGTAATTCCACTTAATGAATGCAAAATGCCCGCTTGTAATAAGTGGACTTTTCAATCTGCTTCTTTGACGTATTCAACAGGTCCAGATCTCACGACTGAAGGAGACAACAGAAAAGTTGCAAGGAGAGGCAGTAATGGCACGGACCAAGGAACAGACTGCACAGGATGCTGCACGGAAACTGCAGCGCACAGTACGTGAACTGAAGGAGGCAGCATCAGCGGGACAGGCTCGTGAATCTGAAGCAGCTCAGAGGCGGAAAGATCTTGAAAAACGGCTTGAGTCTGCTGAGGCAGAGGCAGTGGCTGCAAGGGGAGATCTGCGTCTTGCACTTACTAGAATCCAAGACTTACAATCAGCCATCCAGGGTGAACTAGAAGACTGTAGTGGCAGTGATCACACAGACAGGTGTGGCATGTAAAATGTTCATACAGGATTAAATCAAACACAGGCTTGGCAAATCATGTCAAATTTGAGGCTTCTACAGTAGTTTGAATGTACATGATTTTTTGGGTTGTTATACTAATGATGAAGACAGTAAGCTCATCTGAAATGTTGACTCAGCCAGAATACTACATAGCACAAGGACCTGTATCTTAGATATTGCAAAACCATTATACAGTGAAACCTCGATACATTGTTATTGACGGGGGAGAGACATAAAAACGAAGAATACGGGAAAACGGCAGTTGCGGGAAAGCATTAAAAATGAGAATAAATTAAAATAGTGCGTTTTTCTTTTGCATACACAAAATAATTCACATAAAACCTGTTTCAAAGTTACTTATTGCCAAAAAAAAGTCTTTAATGGATAACTTTACGTTTTAGGCGAAACAGAGCCCTTTCAATGTTCAAAACGTTTTCCCCATCACCTTCAAAAATATTGTGCGCATAAAAGAATGAATTCACTGTTTCACCAATGCGGCATGTGCTTCGGCAAAACTCGGCACAGCTTCGGGCTTGTATTTGTCATCTTCCCCCTCCTCACCGTTTCCCGGCCCCTATTGCGTTTGTCACAAGACTCATCGATGGCGTCGGACGTGGATGTGACAAGCTTGTTGTGCGTCTTTCTGTTAATTTATCTCTAAAACGACCATTTTAAATTCTAAAAACATCTCCTAAATTTCGTTATAATTTCTCAGAAACGATCAGTGCGGGAAAATTGTGGGCCAGGACTAAGATTTTTGAACGATTGATGCGATAAAACGACAGTTCGAGGAACGATAGAATCGAGAAAATGTAACATTATTTTATATGGGACGTATCAAGGACCAAACAAAACGGACGATGCATCCAGGAAAACGATAGTTCGGGGAATGATGGATATAGATTTCACTGTACCACATATTCCAGACTTGCTGTGTGCTGGTACAATCTTGTAAAACCTGGTAAAGTTCAACCATGTTTCATCTCTGTTAAATAGAGATTGGCTTTTTCACAGTGAAGATCTGGGTTTGATTCGAGTTAAATCATTGCGGGATTTATAGATGAAAAAAATTGCATTGGTATAGTATTTTCTCCAAGTACTTTGATGTTATTTTTCCACCAATGTTCTACCTACATTATCATCATCCACATAATCAATAGCTGATACAGTACCTCCATCTGAGATGCCAGTGCAGTAATATTATTCTTTTATTTTTATGCATCTGTAGAAGGACCAAGGTCATTAGTGGCATTATGTACAGTTTTGGGAGATTTTGGGCTTTGACAGTCCTAATTTATGTAATGTTTGTTTACAGTGATCAAGACAGTGATTGTTCAGATGAATCCATTAATACATTCTTGTCCAATCACAAGATGCCTTTGGTGTCAAGCACTGCAAATTCAACTCCACGGGTTCGAACAGCATTAGAACTAGACATTTAATCCAGGTAAGAGGTAGCCTCTGAATGGAATGTTCAAGGTGAGCATGGACATGTTTGTGGGAAAGGTAACACAATTATTTTGTCTTATTAACATATAAACAAAAGGAGAAATGAGTAAAAAAATTTATAATGAATAGAGAAGTTGTAACATTAGATCACTGTTTCCTAAATTTTATGGGGACAATCACATTTCTAAACAGGAACAACCTAATTAATGAGCCCTCAGTTGCATTTATTTAAATTGATCACAGCCAATTACTGTGCCATACCTGCATGCATAAGTGCTGATTACTTTCCACGGAACTGTATGTTGAACCAGAAGGATTTATGGCATACAAATTCTAGCAAGACAGGCTTTTCTCTTGAGTTGTGCAATCTTGGATTCCACTGTTAACAATAAAGTCAGCAACAGTTCTGTTAGGCAGCACATTGTAGCTTCATCTCAAATACTGTATGTGTTGAATTAAAAGTAAAGGCTTCATCTTGATTTCACAGAAATGCAGTGCATGAAATTTGATACCATAAAAGTAACTGGAATGGTTTCAGATGCATATTACATCACTGAGATATTAAATGTACCTAGTCATTTGGATGAGATAATGACTTTGGTATGGCATGGATTATTTTGAACATCACAGAAAAATATCATCTTCAAATAAAAGGAGTCAGTGCCAATATGTGAAAAATTCTGTTTTTCCAAAAAAAATTGAAGACTAATGTGGTGTGTTGATTATTTTGATTTCCACATTTTTATTATCTACATAGTGACTAAGCTGTGACCTGGATGACTTGGGGTTCAATTCCTGGTAGGAGCAGAGATTTCAGCTCAACCAGCCTTGTATCCAATGATACTGGGATTCTTTCCTCAGTTGTAAAGTTGCTTGAGGGGAGGGGGTAAAGTGAGCAGGGCATGAAGCTAGCCACTCACCTTCATCTGCTGCCAAGGCTAATATTTGGAGCTATACCTCCACTTACCATACATCTGCATGACATAATGCTTACTTAACTCTTGGGGACATTGCCTTCAAATTCAGTGGAGAATATTTTAAAGTATACCTGATAAATGAGTGAAGCATACTGTTCCAGAAAATAGTAATGTAGTCAAATACAGGAAGCTTGAGAAGATAAGCTTGCTGTTTTATGAAAGAAAATATTCAGTAAATTATTTAAACTTTTCTGTCCTATAGTATAAAAGTTTGCTTGAACAATTTTACACTTTACAAAGAAATTACATGGTAAGGGTTTTAGTTTTTGTGTGAAATAAACATAATCTAGACCAGAGAGCTTACTGAGATGAGAGCACTGTATATTTCATTCACAGATATGAACATTCTTTTACAATCAGTATTGAATGGTAGCTGGCCAGGAGAACAAAGTTTCTGGAAGTGTGATTACATAGCTCCTTGAATTATGCCTTATTCAGTCATAGCAGCTTTAGCTGAGTACTAAGTCATCATTGATGGAGTAAATTTGTTTTTTCTTTACAGATCTCTAAAAAGTGCTACAAAGCTGTGCAAAAATGTGAAAAATGAATCACAGGACTCTTTTGCATGAAATGTACAATGTTAAAATAGGATGTTACACAACTGTCTGTTCACACATGTAATGCATTGAGGTTCAGACTATTTCTCATTATTATATCAATTATTTCCCAATCAGACATGTTTTGTACAGATCAACACTTGTGGCATTCCTAGGTTCATCATTATTGGCTCATTTATTTAAAAAGGCTGTGTATAAGGACTAAACTAATTCAGTACAATACTGTATCACCTTCATGTATATGCATTGTCTGAAGTCATATATCACCACAGCTTAGTTTGATCTATATATTTACACAAGTTACTTACAGTTTAAAATTACTTCACCATTTGTGACATATCACAAAATACAGCTCTCTCTAAGAATATTGTGTAGACCATGTATTATGTTCCCAGGAATACATTAAAGCTAATAGTTCATAAGGAGAAAAACTGAGGATGGAAGATTGCATCTTTTACTACCTTCTATATGGTAATAAGTTTGGTATCGAAGGGATTATAAAAAATTATTTTGTTCCAATCATTTATGTTTGTGTGTGTTTAAATCTATTTTCATTGCCTGCTCTTATGTATTATTATGTACAATATAATTTATCAATAAATTAAAAAATGATTTCATTGATAGCAAGACTATAAATTAAATAATATTGCATGTTTGCGGATTCGAACCACCGCCTAACCGAACCCTAAACTCATCAGCCCAGCGCCTTAACCCCTAGACCACGAGACATGACGTCATAATGTTGTTTAAAACTTTCTCATAAGGTAACTATACAAAATATTAGATATAAGGAAGTTTTAAAACTTGAACTGGCATGAGCTCGGTAGCGTAGTGGTTAAGGTACTAGTGCTTAGTTGTAAGTGTGTTTAATGTTGTTCTGTGTTCGAATCCCCATTTATTCCATGTTTTCAGATTGCAGCATAGCACCAGCTCGGCAGTTTAAGCTAATATTAAATGTTGGATTATTGTGTTGGGGGGCGAAACCCTAAGAAAAATTCTGTTATAATAGAGCACTCTTTTGTTTAATTTTCCAACATTTTCTATCATTTTGTATCATTTGCTGTTGGGGGAAAACTCTAAGAAACCTAAAGAAATTCCAAAAATTTCCAAAAAACAACAAAAACTCTTTTGAATAGAAGCAGACAGGAAAAAAATCTTTCAAAATAAGGAAAACGAATAACTAATAAATATGTAACTAGTAACAAACTAATAAATCATTTTGTGGGTCTGGTTACAAGCGGTCTCAGGCTGGATGTGGTGCAGTGACACACTGCTCTAGATATTCAGAATATAAGACGGGATATTAAATCATAATGAAGGATTTGGGTACTAGTGTGCAGCACCGGAATGAAGTAGCGCAGATAACTAGTAGGAATCTCTGCATAACTTCCTACAGTTACGTTTGCTTACGTTGCTAGTAATCTTGTAACAGAAGCAGAAAATAACGTTATAGAATGGTAGGCATACGGGAAACAATTTTTACCAGGTAAAGGAGTTTCAGCTTGTCGAAATTGGACATCCACCTCAAGTGTGGGACAGTCAAGTATTTCTTGCGTTGCTTGTGTGAGCCTCTGGTGACCAAGATTTTGTAAATGCTGCTGAGAACGCTCATCCACAAACTAGAAAAAACACAAATGTAAAAATTGGGAACTAAA